GCTGCCTGCACTGATCCAGCTCCTGGGCCCACAGCCCCACTTGTCCCTCAGCCAGTTGGTCATGGGGTAGTCATGGCAGCCCTGAGGCTGGGCGTTCCGCTCGGCTGAGAGAGAGAGAGAAAGACCTCATAGACACAGACAATGGAATGGTGATTACTGTGACTACCAGAGGGAAAGGGGGGTGGGAGAGATAGAACAGGGTGAAGGGGGATAAATGGTGATAGAAGATAGACACAGACAATGGCATGGTGATTACTGTGACTACCAGAGGGAAAGGGGGGTGGGAGAGATAGAACAGGGTGAAGGGGGATAAATGGTGATAGAAGGAGACTTGACTTGGGTTGGGAAACAGGGGAAAAAAGAAAAACTTTCATTTACAATAACATCAAAACAATAAAATACTTAGAAATACATTTAACCAAAGAAGTGAAAGATTTGTACAATTTCTTATAAAAGAAATTGAAGAAGACACCTTTAAACACTTAAAAAGGGAATACCAGTTTGTTAAGACCATCAGCCAAAAAACAAAAAGAAAGAAAAAAGGAATGGAAAATACCAATTCATTTATTAGACTTCTAATGAAAAGCAGTTGTATTCCAAGTTGGATTTTACCATAAGGGTCACCTTGAGAATTTTTTCTAAGATCTCAGAGCTAAAACAACTGCATGAGTTCCCAGGGTTAGCTGGATATTGGGGGCCATCCCAGAACTGTCTCTCTAACAAGATGTGGTTTCTGCCAGGTTCCGCCTTGTTCCATTTTTGACTGAGCTAAGGGCTGTGATGGACTGGGTGTGGACAGACACGACCTTGAGCCTCTCCAGCTGGATCTGTGTGGAGGACATCTATGCTCACATATTCATCCTGAAGTGTTGGCGGGAGTCGGAAAAAGTAAGCCAATAAAAATGCCTTATCCCTATTTGTCTCTCTTAGATACAGACTGGTTATAAGATTAATGTGAACTTTTGCAAGTTTTGTGGCCAAATAAATGGAGACAGGGACAAAACTACTAGGATTTATAAATGTCCTATTGATTTTCACCCCACTAGAGTAGGGAATTTTGGACATACTGCTGTCTTAGCAATAGCATCCAGATGTGTTCGTCTTTTGGCCACTTTGTATTATAGTTATTTTTAAAAGAAGAAATTATATATTGCTGTGTGACTCAATAATTCTTAAATGACTCATTGGGGAACAGGAGGAAATTTGCTCTGGTGGAGAAAAGTGGGGTGAGGTAGCTTGGACTCAGGCTCACCACCTGATGTCCTTTTTGATGAGGGACAGACAATGTCACTGCTTTGTGCCAAGGAAATTGAAGTGCAAATACTTGATTATTCTTCCAGGTTGAATGTTAAGGTTAAAAATAGAATTGCAATTATTTATAGGGTTCTCAAGTTCAATGTATGAAGCAGGAATCTCTTGCATAATAACAATAGAAATACTCAAGCAACATTAACTGAGGTGGTGTGAAATGTATTTTTTTCTCATCTCTTTGAAAAAGTCCCCTCTAGTCCATGGAATCTCTGTATTCTGCAGTTTTTCTGAGAATTTTAGCTTTGTAGTCATGGGGCCATTTGTACCTCTGTGTTTCTGGCATTTGTGGCAGTGAAGGAGTGAGGCTGGGAGTATACTTGTATTAGCTTTTCCTGATTTTTAAGGTACAAGGGAATTGATATAAGAACAGAATATGAGAGCCAATCTACCAAAGGGACATAGAGGGTAGAAATAAGGGTGACAAAGGGTCTGGAAATCATATGAAAACAAGGAGGAAGAACCAAGAATTATTTAGTCTGAAGAATTATTTAAAAAATGGGGGAGGGGGCAGACAAACTATTTAAAATATTAGAAAATAAATTATAATTTCTAATTAAGTTGTAAGATCCAAGAAAAGTAGACAAAAGATCCAGTAAGTCGCGGTGGAACATAAAGATCTTCCTAAAAATCACAGAAAAGAA